AGGCAGACGCTTCATTCAGAGGGAGCTGCCATCTCTCCAGCTCTCTGGGCCTTTGGGGAGCATGCTTTTCAATGTGGGCCTGAGTGCTCCAACCCTCAGCCCCTGGGCAAACAGCCCTCTTTATGCCCATCAAACCCTCAGCCCAACCTCTCTGGCTGCGGCTCAAAGAATTTCCCTGAACAACCCCCCAGCTCAAACACCTTGCAAAGCACATGACTGCTCTGCTTTCAAAGTCTGCTCATTGCCTTTTGAGCCTGTTTTGCTTTTCTGTTAACCTTCAAGTTTATCTATAATTCTTTATACCCTCAGGGAGGCGTTCCTCCAAGAAAAGCCCTGCTGTCCTATGGTCTCATCTCAGCATCACGTTAGGTACTAAAGCTCCCTCTCTCTACAACAGCCATGTTTATAGGACTCCTACAGTGGCTGTCAAGCTGGGGTTCCAAAGCAGTAGCACTTGGGAACTAGTCAGTGATGCAGCTTCTGGGGCTGGCCCCAAACCTGATGAATCCAGAGCTTTAGAGTAGAGTTCAGCAGCCTGATGCTTAAAAAAGCTTCCAAATGCATGCACCCAAATTAGAGAGCCAGTCAGAGGGCCAGTGCTTCTCACCAGGGGTCTTCAGGCCCCAAAGGACCTTTGACAGGGTCTGGAGATATCTGATATTTAGTGGCATTATGGCTTGTATCTAGATATTCCCTCAAAAGTCTCAGTAGTCATAGTTCTGAAAGAGGATGGATTAGGGTGTGTGAATGTGGATTAAGAGTGTGCTACTGGGTTTAAGGATGTGGAAAATGGAAGCCCCACCCTGGGTAGCCAATCAATAGGCAGGGTACCCTAGATGGAATACGAAGGGACAAAAAAGCTTCTGCTGCTTGCTACTGTCTTCCTGCCTTCTGCCATAAGCTGTTTCTGCTCTGCAATGTCCCTCTGCCATGCCACCCTGCCTTGGAGCCAGTTGATTATGGACTGAAACTGCTACTACACCTCCATCAACTGTGAGCCAGTCGAATAAAACCTTTCCTTCTTTTACTTGTGAATGTCAGGTATTTGGGCTCAGCAATGGGAAAAGTAACTAAGACAAGTGGATAGAGGCCAGTGATGAGACTAAACATCCCACAAGGCACAGCGCAGTGCCTATCACACAGACTTATCTGCCCCAAAGGGTCACAGGGCCAAAGGCAGATAAACCTGGCTGCAGACCTGAGGTTAAACTTGCAGTCGACATCTAGAAGCATAGAGTACACAGCCCTCTCCAGTGTCTCTAGTAGCCAGGGCAGCACTCTTCCAGGAAGAACCCAAACACAGGTGCTAAGACCCAAGGAGGTCTTCATGTGGTGCAGGCTGGATGCACCTCAGCCCACCCTCCTCCCACATCTGCCCTCAAGCTGGCTCTTCTGATGGCCACTGACAGTAGGTGGACCTGCAGCACAGAGAGGTCATGCATCCAAGCTCTCACAGTGAATGTGGCAGGGACAAGACCCAGAGCAAAGAGAATCAAAGACTGGATCTTCATCATCATGCGGCTCACCACACAAAGCCATGTAGAGGGGCTCTCTTGGTAATGAAATGACGCTCTTACACAAAGGAGAAAACTATAGGCTTTGCTACCATTCACTCAGTCTGTCTAGTTAGTGCTTGATGCCTGCTCCCCTCTAAGCCAGCAGCTCTGTTGTGTGATGGTATGGTTCAGGATGCAGGATATTCACACTTTAGCTCAGGGAAATCAATGCACAATGTAGGTACACACATGTGTGCATGCACACCTCCCTTGTGATCTCTTCCAAAGTACAGAGTAGCGGTTGCTCAAAACATTTGGAGAAACAGACAGGGAATGAGGAGTCCCCTGAGAGAGCTGGGCTTTGAGCTGCCGGTCAGATTACAGTGCTGGCCAAAGAAGGCCAGGAAGTCACACAAGCAGGGGACAAAGAATATGGCCAGGAGCCATAAAGACCTAGTTTTGGGTCCTGCACCATTGCCTACCAACAGCATGAATCTTGGCCAATAACTATTTATTCTACAAGACTCCATTTTCTAACCTATAGAGTGGGGACACTGCTTCTCGCCATACAGCATCGGGCAACGATGAACAAATTGATGAAAAAGCACCCAGGGTTCACTCAGTTTCCAAGCTTTGCCTAGACAAGCATTAAGGCAGGGGAAATTCTGATCTGGTCCTTGGAGCCTGGGAACCGTGGCAGTGTGTGAGAGGGCCAAGGCAGAAAGTGAGCAATCACCGAGCCTCTCCCTGGCAGCAAGAAAGGCTGGAGTCAGTGACAGTCCACAGAGGCACTGTGGGTTAGCAGGTGTTACAGAGGTGCTGAGAGCCATTAGCACCTAATTACGCTTTTGTCCTTGCTGTAATCAGGTGAACTGCAAAGGACTGAGAAGGGGGATGCTTTAAAGAGAAAGCAGACAGCTGTCAGAAACACCTGCAAAGGTGACAATACCCCTCTGAAAGCGGCTTCTTTCCAATGGTTGAAGGGCCAAGAGAAACCACAGGGCCAGGAAGATGGGACTGATGCAGACCTTTAAGCACCGAAGGCAATCAAAATCTTGGCTCCTTAGGAAACAGGGAGCTGGTGGAGGCCTTTGAGAGGGGATGGGGTTAGATGCAAGAGGATGCTTAGCAAGAAGAAACAAATAGCTGTCCGCAGGATGCATGGAGAGGTTGGGGGCTGGGCAGAGGTGGCTGCTGTCGTCCAAGTTGTGCTAACATGGCCGGGTACCAAGAGCACAGGAGAAATGACCGGGCCTGACACTAACAGCTGCCCCTGTCAGACACAATACTCAAAAGCCTGAAGGTCCTACCAAAAACACACCAACAATTCACAGTTAGCCATGCCCAAGGCCAAGATCATGAGTGGAGACTCAGCACTGGCCCATGGTATAGAACCTGAAACAACCACCTCCATGGTGCAGAATCCAGTGACACAGAACCATCACTGGCAAAGACCCCCAGCATCATCCACATTTCACAGCCTTAAGGCCAAGAACCATCCATGGTACAGAAGCCCGGGACACAGAATTGCTGTGGTACAGAATTCCGAGACCCAGTGACCACATGTGGTACAGAACCTGAGACCCAACACCACTCCTGGCACAGAACAGCTCACTCTGTCTGACTCAGGATGTTCCTCCAGACCCTGGCATGCTAGACTTGGGGAAAATGCAAGTCAGAGACACTGTAAATCTCAGGGCTCAGTCCTGTCACAGCCTGACAAGTCTGTCCTTCCCCACCATGACTACCTGCCTTGAGCTTCCTTCGCTGGGGGCAGTTGTTTCTCTTGGCTCTTGCTCTGGAGCATGTGTCCAGAGGGTAAGGGGGCTTGCTGAGGTCAGGGATGTCCACAGGTGGATACAGATGATTGGGGTATATTGTGGGGCTCCAGTCAATTCCCAGAGTATCTCTGCTCACCCAGTCACCACCACACACCTCTTGGGCTCCATGAGAGGTCATCCACATTTAGCAAAATGCAGACCAGGGATGGTCTGGATAAACACGAACTTCCTTTCAGACCATATTCTAGCCCTGCATGGAATGCAGTATGTATACCCAATATTGGAATGTTCTTACACTGAAATATGAGTCACTATTTGTCAGAGATGCCAACTTACTTGGGGTTCCCCTCTCATACTTGGATCTCCATCTACCTGGAGATCTCAGGTGACAAGAACTAGAACACAACAGGACAAAAGGGTCCCTCCAGTTCTCTCCACCACAGTGGGCATGAGACAAAGCTTTGTGGAAGTCAGTGCAACAAGACAACTTTGAGGGCATCCATCGCTTGGCTGTTCAGACACCTTTCAGGTAAAAAGCACACGGCACTAAAAAGGTAACAAGAGCCAGTGTCGCAGAGTGGTTTAATCAGAGATCAAAAGCACCAAAACACCTGACCTCTTTGGGAACACAGGATACGTGCTTCCCCTGCGCCCAACCTTGGTGTCTCATCCGTAAGCTTAAGAGAAGAGAGTGGCTCCCCATTGCCCCTTTCCAGGTAAAAACCTGATGTCGATTGCAGGCTACCTATTTTGTCTGTCTAAGAGGATGCAATGGGGAATTACAATCTATCCTAATGGCAGTCCCGCCATACACAGAAAGGAAGGAAACTCCACGGCCAGAAAAAGAGTGTGCACTACTGTCCATGGCCAAGCCTTGATGAACTGGCACCTCTACCACTTGGAACAATCAAGGCTCCAGTCCCTGTCATGACAGAATTAGAGGCTGACCACATGCGGCTGCCCTGTACCTGCCGGCTGGATTATACCTGCATGATTAGAATGTGTAAAAGCAGATTTCATGGATAATAAAAATAAAAATGATCACAATGGAGTCGGAACCCAGCCAAGAGGGAGAGTTGGAGGGCGTCTGCGGCCTTTTTAAGCAGGCTAACTGCATGGAGGTTGTGCCGTCCTCCTCCCTGTGCCCCTGCCAGCCTCCAACCATCTGTCCCCATCAGCTCCCTGCCTGGTTAGCTCGATTCTAGAAATGTGACTGTCTGGAGTCTAACTGGGCCACACTAGGAGCCGTCACCCTGAGCCAAAGCACAGGCAAGAAGGAGGAAGACAGGACAGGGAGAACAGGGCTCGAGGGAGCCTGGGTGAGGATGCATAAGGATACTCAGAAAACCAGGGAAGATGGGACGGGAGACACGATCTGGGGGCTTCTCCTCCCTCCCTCCCAGGAACAAAGAAAAGACGAAAGTCCAGGGAGGGCCTGCTGTGCACCTACATGGAATTAAGGGATATGCGCGTGTGGCTTGTCCACATGCCCCACTGCCAGGCACGTTTTAGGGTGCTCACCTCAGCTCACTCCAGTCACACTGTGTCTGCAATACACAGGGTCACACAGAGTGGTCTGGGAAAAGCCTGAGTACCGGGAGTCCAACCTGCTCACACTATGCAGTTACCCCTGTGCCCGTGAGGACACATTCCAAGGCCTCCAGTGGAAGCATAACCAGGGACAGAACAGAACCCTAGACATGCGAAGTTCTTCCCATACGCATTTACCCATGAAAAGGTTTAATCCACAAATCAGGCACAGGAGGAAGCTAGCCACAGCATCTCATAATAAAATAGAACAATTATAATAATAGACTGTTGTAAAAGTTATTTTGGAACATTATTTCCATTTTATGAATCATTTCTGGGACTTTTCATGTAATATTTTTCAGCCTGTGCTTCACTTCAGGTAACTACATGCAACGCTGTGGACAGAGAGGATCCCTGTACGCCCAGGGAAGACTGAGGGCTTCCTTAAGACCCAGCACAATTGCCCATTCCCCTCTTCTGGCCTGGCTCCTGCTGCAGGTCTTCTAACAGGCTTGGTGGTGCCCTCTGCTCGTGTCTTAGTTCAGTGAAGCTGTGTCCGCTGGTGATGGAGAGTTTCAGGGGTCCCTCAGCCAGCCCTGGACTCCCAAAGGTCCAGGCAGATCAGGCTCCCACTCTGCTCTGTGCAACACTTGGGCGGGGGTGGGTATAAGGAACTGGAGTCCTACTCCACCCTCGCCATACTGGCAGGGGGCTCTGCTCACAGGACAGCCAGCCATGGGGGGCCGGGAGGGGAAAGGGCCTCCCAGTGGCCAAGGGTAACTAAGAAGCATCTATTTTCTTCTCAGGGGACCAAGGAGGTTGGGGACAGCTCAAGACTCAGGCAAAAGCTAGGACTCATAGGAAGGAAATGCCAGAGCCCTGGGGGCAGCAGCAGATGGTCCCCAAAACTAAATCCTTTTCTCTGCAATGCCATATCAACTTGTGCTACTCACACGATCACCTGGTGATCAGGTTTGGGATTTCTTACAGAGTAATCGGAGTAATCGGATCACAGGAGGCATTAATTGGATTAGGCAGAAGGCTTCCAAGAGACACATGAAAGTGGTTATTAAAGAGCATGGGGCCTGGGCATGTGACTGCTAGTGTCCAACTCCGCTCTCCTGCTCCTTCCCTGCTGGGGCGGTGAGGAAGGCTGAGCGCCTTGGTTTGGTGGCTCAGTCTTTTTATTTTGTTCCTGCTCCCTCACTGACCTTCCCTGGCCCTTCTTTCTTTGAGCTCTGAGCTGGGTTGGATCTGGGTTGGGTATCTTAGCTGCCTTAGCACCTTTAATCCACATTGGGAATTTGTAAGATTGGATGCGGCACCCTCCTTTAAAAGAAGGAAATCCTACAGTGTGGAGGTTAAGAAAATGCCCTGTATCTCAGAGAGTAAGTTTGAATTCCAGCCCAGGTCTACCCACTATTCTTCCCATCTTAAAACCCACCTTCCTACATCTAATTGTACTAAACACCGCCACCTTTGGGGCCCCAACTGGGGCACTGTCCATCTTCACAATTCCTGAGACGGTGCTGGCAGTGTTGGTGACAATGTGGGGGCTCTGCAGGTTAGTCACTGGCTATCACCCACCACGACCACATCAGGCTGCAGCACTGGAGGGGACCTGGTGGTCTGAGTCTCAGCAGCCCTTCTCCTGGGCGCTCAGATGCTTGTGCTCATCCCTCCCCAGGTGCTGCCTCTCATTTCTGTGACATCTGAAAGTTTATCAGATGTCACAAGCAGGATCCACAGCCCCAAATGTGCCCCAGCAAGGCTCCCTACATAGGCAGAGAAACACATGTCAGCAGAGAAACACACTCACCAATGCAATACACACACCATGCACACACACGCATTCACTTACGCACACATGCATGCAAACACCACATACATATATACATATACAAGTACACAGGTACACACACAGGTATATACACATGAACACATAACATGCACACACAGGCACTTAGACATGTACACACTATATATACTCCATGTACATATTCATTCATATGCAAATCACTGACATGTAGCACACACATATATTCAGTGTGCACATATCCACTGGGCCCCTTCTGACGACTCCCCAGCATTTACCAGCATCCAATGTATACAAACTGAGGTTTTGTTTTCTGTCAGTTTCTCTTCAACCAGAAAGGAAACACCAAGAGGCCAGATCAGAGAACAAGGTGATCTTCCAGTTTGGGACGTCTCTGGCTGCGCCCTCAGCGCCTAGAACCAACCCTAGAGCCACACCAGAGACATGGGCATCCACATCATCACTTCAGGCGTGAGAAAGGGCAGCAGAGGGTAACCATCTGGAGATGCAGCCTGGGGTGGAAGGCAGGGCGTGTGAAGGGCCCTGGTGTGTCTGGATAACCCCGTGAACCAAGTACACGAGCGTGCAGCAAGTCGGCAGAGAAGGAGAGGGTGCAGGGAGGAGGTGGGGTTATTAGCAACACTTGCTGGGTGACCCCTCACCCTCCGGCTTTTGACTAAGCCTTGTCCCCTGGGCGGCATGTTGGCTGGGCGATGCAGGACCTCCCAGAAGAGTACTGTGGCCCCCTCTTCTGTACCACAAGTACACTTGGGCAGCCCCACAGGAATGAGCAGTGTGGAGTCACAGGAGGGTGGTCTGGGCCCAGGCCAGCTCCAGACGGTCCCAGCTGCTCTGCCCACAGCCCCAGGGGCAGACAGGAAACCGCAAGGATTGTAGCTCACAGGGGCTAGGAGGCAGTCTGGGGGTGCGCCTGGCCGAGTTCACACTACTGCAGGCCTAGTGTCCACCCCCAAGGCCCTGGCAAGGACAGGTCTGCAGGAATGCATGCAGCAGCCAGGAGGGCAGCAGGGAGCCAGAGTGCTGGGGTCAGGCCCCTCCTGTCGGGCTCCCCGCCATCCCAGACCAGCATCCGAGCAGTGGGATGGCCTGGTGGACATAACCCAGGTGGTTAGATGAAGGAAGCCCTGAGATGAGGCATCGTGGAAATCGGAGGTCAAGGCCTTCAAGGTCCTCAGATTCCTTACTCATAAAATGGGTTTGTGTGAGATAATGAAAACATCTTAGATCACAATGACTATTTTATATGACAATGCATTTTCTCTGTCAATATAGCTACATGTCTGTGCATTTCTGTATTCTTCATGGCCTCCCTGCCCAGTATCCCAGGGCACTGGCTGATGGTGTAACTGTTTCTTACAATGTTATGTCCCAGGAGTCCATAGGGACTACCCTGCAGTCCCCATCGTGGAGTGGGACTAGAGCTCCCCTATCCCTAAGAGAAGAGACACCACAGGATGATAGACACCACAGGACGATGGTCCCACCTTCATTGATCCTCACTATCGCTGTGGTCTGTGGCACCACTCTGACCTGGGGACAGCTCCCCGCCACAACTGAAAACTTTTGGGCAGAGGTGGGAGTACTAAGCTGTCTTGGAACAAAAGGGATTGGCCTCTTCCTGCACTCCAGCCCAGGAAGGCACAAGTGGGACTCTGACACCTGCCTGTTTAGGGACCCAGGCTCAGTGCACCTGGTCTCACCTCCCCTGACTGCACCTGGCCTGGTGCTTCCCAGGCTCTACTTCGGTTTCTCTGTGCTGGAAACCTCCTTCCCCTACTCATTTTCCCTCACTTCAGCTTCTCCCACCTCACAGGGGCTGGTGCTGTGGATAATCTGCCTACGTGGGCCGCTAGCCTTGCCCACTATTGGCTCAGGAGGAGAGCTGGCCAGAGGGGAAGGGGAGGTAACCAGGTAGCAGGATTTCTCAATGTGGACACAAGATCCACCCGGGATGGGATCTCAACCCTGTACTTAGAATCATCTGACTCAGCAAATCTAACTCCTGCGATCTCGGTTGAATAAAATGGGAATCATAATCCTCTGTGTGTAGGACTTCCTGATACTGTGTTTCTAACTGGTTGTGTAGTCCTTGAATGTGCAGAGTTACTGCGACCCCGATGCCCCTCGTGTGCCTCTCGTCCCAGCCCTTGGGACTGGAATGACAGCTGTCTCCTTATCTTCCCACACCCAGCCCTGCAGCTGTCTGTTCACAGGATCTCATCTTGCTTTGTGAGTTTGCCACTTGTTATTGTGTTTAGTTTTCAGGGCACCCCTACAGCGCTAAATATTGTCCTTCCAAGGTTACAGATGAGAAGGCTCTGAGGCGTTGGGTCACTATGCTGAGGCCATGCAGCCGGTGGGTGTCTGAGTGAAGAGTTGTTCCCGTGTCCTAAACCCTGGACATTCCCATCACACCTCCCCTGGGGAGGGTGCTAGGGTGCTGGGACCCAATTCTCATCAGCAGTGCCCCAGTATACACCCCTGTCATCACCCGGGAGCTCTCTAAGCACACTCAGAGGGAACGGGTCTGCTGTATTCAGAGGCAGCTGGCCGGGGCTGGGGCTGGGGTCCAGCAGTCCTGAGCCCTAATCCCTGCCCTCATTGGGTCTGCAACACAGCTCTGCAAAGCAGCTGTGCTGGGCCAAGAGGGCAGCTTTGGTGACACAGGCTCCCTGACAGCCAGCTGGCCAAGGCAGCCCTGTGCATCAGCCGACTTTAATTGTTTATTCTCCAGCCTTGTTTATGACTCGATAAAATCCATAACCAGATAGTGCTCATCTCCCTGCTCCCCAAGCTGGCTCTCCCTCCCCGGGGATGCGGCTCTGCTCTTTATAGAAACCAATGGCTAAGCTGGACCGCTTTAAACCGTCACTGTCAGTAAATGACCCTCCCGCACGGAAATCGCTGGTCCAGCATGGAGCCAGGGCACAGCATGACTGTGGGCTTCTTCCTTCTGTAGGGCTTTGAGGGCCCACAGGGAGCAGCAGAGTCCCCGAGTCTGCACAGTGTCACCTGTGCACCTACAGCCCAGGTGGGCGAGCCTGCAGGGAGGGAGAGCACAGGGCTCTGCTGCTGTCTCACTGGTCCCTTGAGGCCTTGGGTAAGTCACGGTGCCTCCACCTCCAGTTATGCAGCACAAGAAGTATAATAAGCACCTGCAGCTCAAGCCTGCTTTTTTTTTTCTTGCCATATTGTATTGGGGGATTGAACCCAGGGCCTTCACACTGAGCTAGAGTGCACATTTTTCTTTCTTGTGAGATGAGGTCTTGCTAAGTCACTAAGCTGCCCAGGCTGGGCTCCAAATGACAACCCTCCTGGCTCGGCCTCCTCGAGAACTGGGCTTTCACCTAGTTTGTTTTTATTAAGTAGCAGGAACACATCTTTAGGTGAAATTTTAGCCACGTCCCTAATAGATGGAAATAGACATTTCAGGTTAAGGAACAAGTGGCGAGTGTAGCATGAACCTAGATAGGCTCCTCCTTTCACCCATTTTTTGAAACTCCAGGATCTTTTCATTGTCGTGTGTTGCACAAGGGGCTTGGCCCAGGGATGTGTTTCTAGCCGCTTCCACTATACGTACACAGAGGGAAGGAGGAAGAGGCAATAGAAAGAAAGAGGGAGGGCGGAAGGAAGAGGAAGGAGAAGGAGACAGAAGGAGGGAGGGAAGGAGGGAGGGGGAGCGAGAGAAGGTGCCGTAACTCACTTTCCTCTTCCTTCTCCAACACGGCTCAACACCCACACCCCCACCCGTGCCGCGCCGCTCCTGCCTGGGGCTCCCTGTAAAATCTGAGTCCCCTCCCCAGTCCCAGCCAGCACCCAGGCTGCTCCTGGCCTTAGACAGCTAAGCCCGTGGTCTCCACCGTGTGGCTCAGGGCCCCCTGAGCTGCTCTGAGGGCCCTACAGTCCAGAGGGTACCTAACTCTGCTGCTTGACAGAATCGGTCTGTCCCCCACACCCACAGCTATCTGTCCAGAGTGCACAGCACCCTGCCCCTGGGATTACTACGGTAAGAATCCACTTAGAAGTGGTCCTGCATCCCCGGCAGTCCTTTGTCATTGTGGTTATCAGATAAACAGCCACAAGCACGTGGCGATGCCTGGGTTTCTCCAGCAAAGAGGCCTTTGCAATGGAAGGGGAGAGGGGGTGCTGACTTGTGGCCTGCATCTGGGGTGGCCTGACCTTTCTCCGGCTATCCCTCATTCTGCCTCATTGTTCGGCTGTCCAGTCTCTTCAGGGTTTCTCCCCACGCACTCAGAAGCGGCAGCTGTCTGCTGGCCAGAGGCCACATCTGGATTTCATCCTCCTCGTTAAATTAGTGGCTGCTTCCCAAGCTTTGGCTCCTTGATCTCCCAAAGACCTATTTGTGCTGCTAACAAGGATGGTAATTTGTTCATTAATCAGGAGACTCTTTCCCAACAGGCATGCTCACCCTGGGGGAGAGGGAGGCCTAAGAGGGGCAGAGCAGTCTCTAGGTCCCAGGGTCAGCACTGCCCCACCCCAGAACCTTTTTAGGGTAGAGCCCCACCTGCTCTGGTCACTCTGCCCTTCGCCTCCCGTGACTGAGGAAGCCTGAGGACCTGTGAGGACAGGCCATCAGGCAGCTCCTGCCGGCCCCTCTGCTGCTCTGTGACAGAGCTTTGTGGCCATCCAATCGATGTGGACAACTTGATCTGGCATCAAGTCCCTGTGCAAACCACAGCCCATCAAGAGGCATTTACTGCTGAGAAAACAAACAGTCCCCTCCCCCAGGGCCCAGCCAGTCCCATCTCCACTCCTCCCCCCTGTCCACACACTGGGTACCCTTGCCTGTCCTTGAAGAGCTCAGATCAACTAATCCAGGCCACTCACCCTGATGCATTCCAATCCCTGCCCAAGCTGCCCTGGGTCCATGGGGGGACAGGACACAGGGTGCAGGGTCTGTGCCCTGTAACCCAACCTCGGGAGGCTTTGGAGTCTTCTGACCCTGCACCTTTAGAGTGATGGGAGTTTAACCACATTGATCCCTTGGGGGAGTAATACTAGGTTGAAGAGCATTTCCCCCAAATTCACATCCCCTGGAACTTCAGAACGTGACCTGGTTGGCAAACAGGCTCACTGCAGATACCATCAAGTTAAAACAAGGTCTTTCCGGAATGGGCAGGCCCTGATTCAATGATGGTGTCTTTTAAAACAAGGAAAACATGACACAGAGACAGAGAGAAGATGGTTGGGGCACAGACAGGAGGCCATGTGACAATGGAGGTATGGAAGTAGGGGGGTAGGGAGGGGACCAAAGGACCAGCAGCCAGGGAGAGTCCTGGACCAGTTCTCCCCCACGGTCAACCTTGCTCATACCTTAATTTTGAACTTCAGGCTCCCAGGCTCCCAGAACCATGTTTGAAACCACCTAGCTTGGTTTTTTGTTTTTTCTTGTGGCAGCTGCAAAAAGCCAACACAGGCGGTAGGTGGGTTGGGCAGGTTTGGGAAACTGTGGGCCAGAATTGGGGGCAGTTCACTGAGGTCGTGGAACTGGGGCATGACAGCAGTGAGGCTGCTGTGTGGAGCCCTGCTCCCCACACCAGTCTCCTGTGAAGCCCAGAGACCAAGGAGGAGCCCAGGTCCTTGCCTCAGGCTCCCTGTGCAGAAGTGGGGCCAGGCCAGACCCCAGGGCGCCTCGGGAGCAGGGACGGTTCCCTCACCTTCTCCCCAACTTTGCACACAGCCTGTCACCAGCCCTTGGTAAAAGCTCCCCATCTCAGAAGCAGTCCTTAGGAACCTCTGGTTCTCAGCAGAGTGCCTGTGCTCCAGAGCTTCAGTAAGTAAATACATGAATGGAAGAAAAAGGGTTTTTTTGGGGGTTTTATTTTTAAAACGGAGTTCCTTTGCAAAATCCTTTTTTGGATGCCGTTGCTGGTGTCTCAATCCCCAGGAAACCCACACAAGGAGCTCTGTGTTGAGGCCTGGCCTGCCCTTAGAGATGCATGCTGGTGTGACGCAGGTTTCTCCACCTGACATTGTGGGCATTTTGGGCTTGGACCAGCCTTGCTGAGGGCCAGCCTGAGTCCTATGGGCTGTTTAGCAGCATCCTTGGCCTCCACATACTCTGTGCCAGAAGCACTTAACACTCCTCCTCATTTAGACTGTGACAACCCAAAGTGTCTGCAGACATTGTCACATGGCCTGAGGTGGGGTACATGGGATGAAGCCCAGGGAGTCCCAACATCTCCCCACTTGGAAAAGAACACTAGGCTGGCAGAACTAGGTGTGTGGAGCCCCAGAGTAGGGGAACCAGGCCACGACCTGCTTTGCTCTCCAGGAGGCAGAAATGTCCAGGTGGACACTGGGCCACTGAGAGCTAAAGAGAGACTTCTGGCACTAGAGGGAGAATTTACACTGTGCACCAAGGACCCTCCCCTAGAAGGTTCTGTGATGTTCTGGCACCTACTGACAGGACAGGAGGAACGACTCCATCCTTCTCTGAAAAGCAGCACCCCTTGGTGCCAAAATGACCAACACTCTGGGATGACCTGACACGAGACAGGCTGGCCTTCCAGGGGCAAACAGCACGAGCCCCTGTTGCTCCCAGTCCCAACTCTGAATTTGCAAACAGGGCAGCAGTCACTCAGGCTTCAGAATCCTGTGCTAGGGACCTTTCTCCTCCAGGCTGCCCTATCAGAGCAGCAGTCAGTCGTGATTAAAGAAGGGGAAACCAAGTTTCAGAGAGATCAAGGAAGTTACCAGAGGTCACACAAGCTTCTGAAGGGCGGTGCTGGGAATTCCATCCCAGATCATCTAGCTTCCTCTATGGCATAGGCCCTGGAATACGCTGCATCCTCTCAGGGTGTCCCCCACCTGGGCCACTTCCTGGGACACAAAAGCCAGTGGTCACGATGAGTGCCCTGTCAATAGGAGCCCTGGGGAGAGAGCTCAATGAGAGGGCGCTGGGGAGAGAGAAGGGAGTTCCAGAACCTACCGACAGCATCGTCCATCCGCAGGAGGACAGTGCCCATCTCAGAACCCAGGGCCAAATGGGCAGCACGTCCCCTGAAGAGGCCACATGCGGGAACGCCTGCTGAGGTGGCTCCCAGCCCAGGCGCCAGCTCATCAGCTCCCTGGCCACGGTGGGTGTTTCCAGGGCAAGGTTGGGAGCGGTTTCCAGGTGGGGGTCCAGAAACACAGTGCTCACATTTGCTGTCCTGAGCACAGAGCCCCATTCAGCTGCTGGGCAGCTAACGACCCACTAACGGCTGTGTTCTGGGAAGGGTGGAAAAGTCAATTCAGAGCCTGCCCTTGACGCCATCCCCACACCCTACATAACGGACACGGCAAACAGGGCACAGGAAGGGGACTTGGCATCCTGACACGCAGGGAGTCACAGCCCAGGACACACAGCATTACAACACAGCACAATGCCACTGAAGATTGGTGGTGGCAGGCAAAGGGACCGGCAGGTATTCTGTGGTCCCCATGAACACCTTCTCTTCCTCATCCTGCTGAGTCCTGGGGCTGGAGGAAGGCAGACGGCCTGCAGACTGTCCCCACAGCCAGCAGATCTGATGAGCTGTTCAGAATGAGGGGGGCAGAGAGGTGTCAGAACCAGCTGCAGGTGATGGGGCTCTCACTAGAACAACAGGCACAAAGCAGGAATTAGGGGCTCACTTTGGGGGTGCTCTCAGGGAAGGACTGGGAGGCCATGGAAGTGCCCAAGAGGTGTAGGCTTATTATGTACCTCAGCAGGAGCTGTGGGTGGCAAGACGGGCCCAGTGATCACGACAGAAGCCACAGGGTAGAGACTCTGGTGGGTACCAGCATCCACTGCGCCACTGCCCCAAGAGGAGATTCCAAAATGGGCCTGGAGGGAAGAGTTAGAGGACAGAGGGAAGTCAAGAAGAAAGGAGAGGTCACCACTGGGTGGTCAATGAGGGCATTTATTGACATACCAAGATCACAAGCAACTCTGACGGGGAAGTTTCAAAGGAGGGGGACAGGGGTGGGGTGATGCCCTGGGCAGTGAGGTGTTCAGGCAGAGCCATGGCTTCAAGAGGCCCAGGGAAGAGGCCAGAGCAACAGGAGGGCCTGCAGCGGTGACAGACCCAGCAGATGCGTGCTGAGGGCAGGACCAGCAGAGAGAGAAAGGCTGACAGGACAGGGGAGGAGGGGCACTCAGGCAAGTGTGGGGGACCGGGGAGCATCAAATTTGTACTCAGAAGCAGGGTACTCATGAGAAGGACGTGAAAGAGCTTTCTAGAGGCTAAAACAGAGGGCCCCACTGGAGAGCTTCCGTAGCTCTTGGAGAAGGCCGAGCTGAGAGAGGAGAGGAGAGTGGGAGGAATAATAGAAACCCCAGGCTCACAATGTCCCACCTGCGGCAGGTGCCTCACTGCCTCCCTTGGCTGGCTTCTCATTACCTGACCCCCAGCACACTTCCACCCGGCCTGCAAGCCCTGAGAGGCTGGCGTCCTCACTAACTCCGGGTGCCAGCCAATCATCCAACCATCACATTCACAGGAGCAACTCCGGCCCTTTGTGGCACACTTGGTCCATAATAGTGGATCGAAATGCTTGCTGAGTGACTGACAGATCAGTGGTCTCTTCTCTCCTCCTTGGATTCACCAAGTCTGAGAAAGCTGATATCCCACATCCCTGCCAAGTCAGAGAGACCACAGAAAACAGTGCAGCTGGCTTTTTCCTTCCTATTTTTTAAGGATAAGGAAAAAATCCACTCAGACCAAACAAAATGAGGTGGCCTTGGAGTGCTGATGAGATCCAATTAGCAGAGATGGGGCTGTGCTGGTTTTCCTCCACAAACATCCTATTTATTTGTGGGGCGCTTGGGGGGGCACGTCAAGCTTGTTTCTTATTACTTTGCTTCACGCCTGGACTAACACAGACGCAGACGGCCTCCCTCGTGATGAAAGCCGGCAGCTCTTAGCAGCAGCAGGAGTCCAGGAGCCAGAGACTCAGGGAGCAAAACGCATGGGGGTCAGGAGCCCACCGAGCCTCTCTTTTAAGTGAGGCAGGGCCAGAGACCAGAGAACACTGGTAAGCAAATAGTAACAGCCAACCTCTGTTGAGGTGCTTGGTTGGTGGAAGGGCTCTGCAACCTGGTACCCATTCTCTCCAACCCCACTTCTGCCCACAAATCCTGAAAATGGGCTTCTTTTTCCTCTTGGTATTAGAGATCCAAACCAGGCTTCCTCCGTGACTGAGCTACATCCCCAGCTCTTTTTATTTTATTTTGAGACCGGGTCTCACTAAGTTGCTCAGGCTGGCCCCAAACTTGCAATCTCCCTGCCTCAGCCTCCTGAGTGGCTGGGAACACAGGCGTGCACCACTGTGCCCGATTGAGTCTAGGTTTCCAGTCCATGTTTGGCTCACTCCGGAGATGGTTTCTGATAGGAAACTGAGACATGCTTTCTCTCCGGGGAGAATTCAGGTTTTCAGTTCTGTAAATAGCGTGGGAAGGGCAAACCCCAAGAAGCAGGAATGGCCTCTGTGAGTGATTGGCATTTTTGTTCTTCACTTTGGAAACTTCCAAACTGAGGGTCGTGCTGGGGAAAATTCTGGGCCATGAGGAACAGAACAGGCCTAGCAAAAGGGGCTCTTGTAGGCTAAGATAGAAACACGTGGGAATAACCCATGCCTGTGTTTCTGGACTCTCCCAGTATACAAGGCTGTGAGCTGGACCATGGGGCAAGACACGTGAGGAAGTTGGTCCCTGCCTATTTGTTCCACACTTTCCTCAGGAATAGTCTCTCTGTCTCACATTCTTTGGGAGAGAAAAGTTAGATTCCTGGGAAAAGGTATCTGTCAATTCAAGTGCCAAACAGGAGAGGAGGAAGAGCGGCCAGGAGGGGTTTGTAGAGTCTCCAGACCTTCCAGCAGGGAGAGGAGAGCTGTCCCCAGCCAACCCCACCAGGATGGCCGTGCTGTGAGTAGCCTGGTGGCCAAAGGTGACGCATAGGAATGAGAGAGACACATGCTGATGGGCTGGTGAGCTTAATTGTATTAGTCAGCTCTCTGCCACTGAAACAAAATCCCTGAAATTATAAACTTCTATGGAGGAAGGGTTTCTTTTGGGTCATGGTTTCAGTTTATGGTTGCTTGGCTCTGTGACTGGGCCTGGAGCAGCATAGTATATCATGGAGGGGGTATGGGTGCAAGAGGCCTTTTCACCTCATAGGGGGCAGGAAACAGAGAGAAAGGAACAGCCGGGGGTTCCAATGTCCCCTCATGGAAGCCACCAGGGACCTCACTTCCTCCAGTAGGCCTCATCTCCTACAGTTCCGTCATCTAATACCAGCACTACAAGCTGCTATTGTAGTTTGTGGCTTGCCTTTGCTGCCTCTGCCTGCCATGAACAGTGTCTCCTCTGCAATGCCCACTGGCTACACTGCCCCGCCTTGGAGCCAGCCAACTACGGACTGAGACTTCTGCAAACTGTGAGCTGAAATAAATCTTTCCTCCTTTTGAGTGTCATGTATTTTGTTCCAGCAACCAGAAAAGTAACCAAGACAGAAGCTGACCAAAGAAATGGTTCAAAAGCAGGTTTGTCCTGAAGATGAGGGAAATCTCAAAGCTTGTCTATTAGGAGTGGCTCTAGAGAGAAGCAAAAGGCATCCTCTCCCTACCCATGTGTGCAACTCCAGGGTCTCTGCATCCCGTAAGAGCCGAACAGAGCACAAGGAGGAGGCATGGCAGGCCACAGTGGGTGGGAAAGCTGCAGCAGCCCTCCTGGGAACCCGAGGAGGTAGACGCCTGCTGGATGAGGAAGTGACCCACCTTCACCCACCTCCACACCCCACAGGCGCTGTGCGAAGAGGGAACTAGCTAGAAAGGCCTGGAGCAAGCACTCGTCTGGCAGCTGCACAGGAAAGCTGTCCGGAGAGCAGTGAGCAGGAGGGTGTCCACGTCCCTGCATGCCACTGGCCCCAAGATGCCAAGGGGGACACCACCTTCCCAGGGACATGACATCAGTCTCTAGGAGGACGTTTCCAGAATGCTTTAGAGCCAGTGCCCTCAAGGAGTCCCAGGCAAGGGTGGTAACTCCCTGAAATTAGATACCTTAAAAGTTACTCATGCATGTGCTCATGCATGTGCACGCGATTTCCTAGAGAGAGGAGCCCAAGGTCCCATCAGCTCTTCAAAAGGGGGCTACGGCAAGGAAAAAGCAGGAGACCCATCAGGGGTACCCTAAATGTACCCGGTCCATCACTCCATGCCCTGAAGCTGCGTACCCCATCAAAGACACTCCAGACAGGTTGCAGGTGAGTCGATTATTCTGATCGAAGCCCAAATCTCCCACTGCACGTTCCAAGTGGCTAGGGATCTCAAGGACAGTGTGCCTGGTTCTTGATATCTGGGTCACTGACTAGGTGTCTGTGACTCACGGAACTGTTTCATGCAAGGAGGATCCTGATGGTGGTGAGCAGAGAGCACCTCTTATTTCCCCTAGAGTACCTGCAAGGAGGTGGGGCACGTGCACCTGCGTTCATGACATGTGTTTGTGCGTGTTTTACATGTAATAGCATATGTCCAGGAAAGCCTGAGAGGGGGTGAGTGAATGTATCTGTGTGAGCAGATGTGTGTATAGCTTGCAGTGCATTTGGTGAGTGAATGGAAGGGTGCATGTGCATGTCAGAGGGGAGCAGGACAGGAGTATGGGGATCAGCAGGGCATGGAGGAGAGGTGCCCTATCTTATCCCTTAACTCCACTGAATTTGAGCACCACCAGAAGCATGGCAGAACTCTCCAAAAGATGTGAAATAGGCTGCCAGCTTTGATTCTGTGTCTTCTGCACAGAATGAAAGCACATTTTACTAGAAATCGAAATCCTCATCCTCTGACAGACGTGGTCACATTGTCATTATGCAAGAGGCGGCCCAGAGGCTCTTTGCCTAGTTCACACAGGTTTGTGACACAAACTTCTGGTTCTTTTCTAGGAGACTAAGGGCCAAGAAAAGGGTTTAAGATTCTCAGTCTCTGTCTTTCTCTCTGGCCCCTTCTCCCCACCTGGTGACACTGCTGAGGGACGAAGCCCTACTCACCCCTTTCTAGGCTCTGTCCCTTCCTCTCTTCTGGCACTGGGGCTGTGACAGGAAGCCCGGGCCTCCCTCAAATCTTCTCTGGGCAGAACACCAAGGCCCAACCCAGTCTAGCACCCAGTATTTTCCAAAGAGGTCCACCATGAAGCCAATGTGTTCTCTGTGGCAGGGTCAGGGCCCCTCTGCCCAGCACAGAGCATACCCTGTGACTGCTGGTAAATCCTCCAGAAGGCCAGGCCCTGGCACAGTCCTTGTGCCTCCCTGTTTTAGTTTTCTCTTGCTGGGACAAAATACCTAACAGCCAAAATTAAAGAGGGAAAGGTTTATTTAGTTCACAATTTGTAGAGGTTTAAGTCATCTGGATCCAAGGCAGTGTGGTAGTCATAGCAAAGCAATAAGCAAGGGATAAGAAAAGCTTCTTTCTGTCCCCTACACTGTATCCAGGCTACCCGGATTAAGGCGATGTTAAACCAATCAGTGTACTGATTTAATCCTAGCACGCTTAATCCTAGCACTGCACCATGAATCAGTCACACTCTAGATTCAGCCCTCTCTGAAAAAGCTCCACCTATGACTGTATGAGGCTTTGGGGGGACATCTAGACACAAGCCATAACACTCTCCTCCTTGGACATCCAGGATCCCCTGGCTGACCCCTCAACAGTCCTGGCCAGGGTCTGGACTCCCTTAATCTTCTAATGGCCTCTGCTGGTGCAGTGAGTGAACAACACGAGGAATGTCACTGAGGCCCACGTCTGAGATCTGGTTCTATCACAAACTGACCAGGGGTGAGACCTTGTATGAATTACTGAGGGTCTCTCAGCCTCAGTTTCCATAACTGAAACCCCTATCACGGGGCTGCCACATTGCTATCCCAGGCAAGGAACAGCACTAGAAAGAGCCCACAGGGATCACACATGGCAGAGTTCACCAAGGGCCCCATCCCCACTGACTTTGGGGGTGGGGAGCATGAGTCCAGCCTGGCTCCTGCCCTTCTCCAGCCCCTGCAGCTCACAGTGGGAAGATGCCACCAGGGCCGAGGGGCAGACAGTACTAGCTATGCCTCTGGCTTCCAACCAGGAAGTGGAGGCAGAAAAAGCAGGAGTCTGGATGTGTGCTGCTGGTCACAGAGAGTTTAAGTACTGTAGACCCTCCCCCCAGCTCAGAAGGGAGTCCACATTACCCATCAGCCACCAGGGAAGTCTCCCCACAGTACAGTTGTGAATTAAACATGCAGCCTAATGAGTTGATTTTATTAGTTTGCAAACGCATTGAGAACTCGTTATCAAAATAAACATCAATTCCTTTCACCTCTGCCGCAGCCTCTTTAAGGGAGCGAAGATAAACATGAATATACAGTGCTGGCCAGCTGGCCGTGACCCAGCTGTGCACGTGGGCTACACGCTGGCCTGGCAGTGTCCCACCGCCCCTCAGGGGTCTCTGAGACCTCGCTGAGGTGGGAGTGGGAGAAGTCACCCACAAGTCCAGGGCAGCTCCTCAGGTCTCACTCTATCCATATCCCACCAGAGTGTGGGCCAAAGGAGGCCCCAGGGAACTGGACAGTCCAACAATAACACCAGTAAGAATAACAGTGGGATGCTGGATGCTTAGTTTCCAGCTCTGTGCTATGTGTTCTCTGACCTCCCATCAATCGATGGGTAGGAAAAATGAATCCATCTCACACATCCACGAAGGTCATGCTGGGAAACAGGGTAGGAGGTGGTCCAGTCTCTCAGTTACCCAAGACTGTCATCTGTGGGGTTAAATGAGGGTAGGATAAAAACAGCAAGACACAGCTGAGCGTGGTGGCATACACCTGTAATCTCAGCACTCTGGGAGGCTGAGGCAGGAGAATTTCAAATTTAAGTCCAGCCTGAGCAACTTAGTGAGACACAGTCTCAAAAACAGAAAAAAAAAAAAAAAAGACCGGGGTATATGGGTCAATGTAAAGACCCCGAGTTCTATCTTCAGTACTATAAAAGAAAAACAAAACAAGACTCTGGAAAGGGAAAGACCTCCATAATCCTTCGCTGGGCAGTAAGATGGTCCTGGCCTCTGGAAGAGCCTAGGACCTCTATGGCTCCATGCTCAGTCTCCCTGGAGACCCTAATGAGTGATAGCTCCCGTTTCCCCCCTCCCCTCCAGGTCCCTGCCCCAGGCCCTTGGGGGAGAGATGGTTCCAGGCTGGCGGAATTAGCCACAAAGCTGGGTTGACAGGGAGCGTATTGTCACGCTCTGCAGTCCATGCTGTCTCTGGAAAGGATGCTCTAATCCCATTTCATCCGTTCTCCATGGCTGTCAGCTGTTTGCAGGCATTTGTGCTGTAATCGGAGCCATTGTGCAGCCCTCTCCCTGCATGTGCTCATCCATCCATCACGCTGTCCCGGACCCCTTTGTGGGCTGGCCACCCCCTCCCGGTGGCATCTCAGCCTTGCCTGCCCCCAGCTGCTCCACCTTCCCTTCTATTTTGGGCCCACAGCCGGACAGGGCTGACGTGCCTCGGCCAAGCCCCTGCAGTGAGGAGGGGTGGGAGCAGCTGGGCAGGGAAAGGCCTCCTTGGAGTCCATAGGAAGGAAAGCAAGAACTAAGTTTCTGCTGCATTCTGCAAGCAAGAGGAGAGAGAGCAGTGGAGTGCAGCTTTCTCTACACTGCAACCACAGAATCTAGCTATTGAAGAAGAAAGAAAATAAAGCCCACTCCCCTCACCCCCGTGGCGCACAAGACACAGAAGATAAAGCCAGGCTTTCCCAGCTAGGCCTGCCGGGCCTCTGCCCCTCCCAGCCCCTCCCCCTCGCCTCCCACTGTGTTCTTTTTTCCAGGTCTTCCCAGTCTCTAGTCTTTGCTCCTGCTGTTCACTTAGCCTGCGGCCTCTCACTTTTCTACACAGGCCTGGTTCTTATCTCCTAGCCTCCTGGGGCAGCCCAGGGCTGACCCCAGCATGTATGCACCACATGCCCATCTCCATTTTCCTGAAGGACGCTGGCCTTCTTCCCTAGCATGTCCTATTGATTTTATCTGGGGATGGCTGGTCTCCCCCTAAACCAGACTGGGTCTAGGCTGGTCTTAAGGTTGGGGCCCAGACAACATTCTAAGCATCTTTAGAAGACAGTTAGCAAAGGCCACCTCTAGTTGTCATAAGAATCACGCCTGACATGGTAAAAGTCTGTTGTTATTATTATTATTAATTATTACTATTGTTATTATTACTATTGCTCTTGTTTTTATTTTCCAACCCCACAAACCGTGTCAACACACAGTGAGCACATGTTGGCACTGGCGCTGTGCTCTCACGTGTAGGACTCTATGTTAGAGGCTGGAGGAGCTATAGGAGAGAAACAGCTTTAGACATCATCAGCTACACCTCCTTCCTGTCACTGAGAATGAACTCGGGACCCAGAGGTAAAGTACATTACCAGAGATTCACTTTCCTGGGGTTTCAGTTACTGACATCAACTGCGGTCCACAAACACTCCATAGGAAATTCCAGAAATAAATAATTCATAGGTTTTCAATAACTGTATTTGTTATAATTATTCTATTTGGCTATGAATTATAGCTGTTAATCTCTTACTGTGCCTAATATATAACTTTCTCATGAGTATGTACAGGAAAAAGCAGTACATACCGGGTTCATTAAACTTTCTTATAAGTAGGTGCAGGAAAAAATACATACAGGGTTCATGGCTAGCCCCAGTTTCAGGCATCCAGTAAGGGTTTTGGAACACATCCCCTGAGCATAAGGGGGGTGACTCTTTTGAGGCCCCAGCACTGGTTACCAGCAGGGCCGACAACCGCCATGTTCTTTTGTTGCCCACTGTCCTCCTAATTGAGCCAGGTCTACGAAGGACCACACGCTCCTGGAGGCCAGGCACACCTTCAGAGGTTCTTGTGAGCCCTTCACCAGTTCTTTAGCAGATGTTCTTTGTCCTTGCTGCTGACCGAAAAGGAGGGAGATTAGACATGTTCCTGTGTCCAGCGCCAGATGTGGTCTTATCCACTACATGTGACCCCAGGGCCTGATTTTGGTTGCTGAGGGGCTGGTTTGGAACAAAACTCCCAGCTCAGTGATGCCCAGGAGGTGTGGGAAGATGGGCAAGCTGATCCTGTAGCCTTTATAGGCTATGCCTGCAACCCACAATCGCATCAGACAAGACACACAGCTACACACAAACATGTATGCTTTCGTACACACCCCACACTTGCACATGTGTTTGCACACACATACATACATGTGTACTCATATATACACAAGGTGGGCGAGCTGGCCAGCCTGAGGTGAAGGGTTGCAGCAGGAAGGGGAGTGGACTCAAGCCGGTAAGTTCAGTAGCAGCAGCAGGGACCGAGGTCACTATCAGGAGTTCTTCCTGTGTGCAGAGCTGGGAGTGCCTGTGGGCTTTTCTCAGGGAAGCTCATGAGCCTCTCTGGAGAGTTTTGAGGGGCACCGTGCCAACCTTCTCACACCAGGATCTCGTGACTGCTCTTGCTCTAGCGAGAGGATGAACTCTGAGGTCCCTTCTGGCTCCTGGCTAAGATCTCAAGCTCCAGCAGTGTGAGTAGTGATGCTGCTAGCTGCAGAGAGCTCTGCATGCCTGGTGTGCCCAGCTGGGAGTCTCCAGAGACAGGGAGCGTACGCTCTGTGTGTGCTGGGGCGGGGAGTCTCTGCTATTTGGGTCCTCCTGAATGATTTACCACCCCCATCCCTGCCAGTACAACTCCTCTCCCAGTGAATTAACTGGCTCTCCTGAAATCATAAATAATTAGTGTGTCTGTCCCCGGTGCCACTTAACAGTTTGTGTTTTCAAAGCACTTTATGCCCATTAACCAAAAAATTCTTGATCCACCTCCAGGAGAATAGGACGATAACGAGAAGGAGCCTGAAAAGACTTCTAGAAGTCATCTCATCCACCCCCCACCACCACCACTGGGATATAGTAAAAAACAAACCAAATATAACCAATCAACTGCTCTATTTTGAGAACACAGCAAATCTCAATGCCTTAAAGCCAAGCAGAACAAAGAGAAATGAGCCATAACCAGGGCAGACTACTGCCCGAAGAGCAAACCACTAGCCAGAACCAGCAAGCCAAGAGCCCAGAATGCCCCACAGACCAGGTGGACCAGGATGGGGAGGTTGGGGAAGAATGGAGAGGTACTTAAAGTACTCAGAGGCACCTGGATGGACCTGGAGGCACCTGGAGGGACCTGGAGGGACCTGGAGGGACCTGGAGGGACCTGGAGGGACCTGGACCCAGCAAAGACTTTCCACACCTGCGAGGAGGCAGATGGTAATTGCTAAGCATGTAAATGACAAGTTCGGATACCTAAGAATGTTCCTTTTAAGCAGCCCCTCAATTCTGCCCAGCCAGCCACATGCCAAGTTTTGCTACTGATGTGAGGCAGAAATGGCCACTCATGCCCCCTGCCTTCGGCTTGGGAAGGGAAAGCTCAATATGTCTGTGGATTCCTATGCAGCCACCCACACAGACTCTCCTAAGGGTCCGCAGAGGGCACCACTCTTCTGCCGTGAATCATCTGATGAAGAACTGTGGCCAGGACAAGGCTGAGATGTGAGAGGGAAAGCAGTCTCTCTTTCCGGTTCACGGGCAGCCACTCTGGCATTTACAGGCCTTTTAGTGCCTGATGACACTGGAACTCCAGAACTGGGACCAACAGGAAGTCTTCTACAGGAAAAACACCTCCCCTCCCTCCCACCAACTTTGCTGAGGGTCAAGGAAAAGAGATGATGGACGTAAAGCATGGCAGAACTGGAAGGGCTGCTTCCAGCACAACTCCGTAGACTCCCATGGGAACAAGCACTCCCTAGCTAACAACTACAACTCTGGACAGTCTATGAGAAAGCAACTGCCTGGAGGCAATGGAGAGCAAACCAAAGCAGGCGGATTTTGAGAAGGGCTTCCCCTCCAGAAGACATGGATGGCAAAAATATGAGCTCCTTGGTTGGTGTGGCTTTCAGTATCAGGGCACGATGGAGCCTGCACAGCAGAGAGAGCTATACCTACAGCAAAACACAGCTATGGTAGTCAAAGCACTGTGGTACCACCATAAGGACAGACATAGAGAACAGAACGGAACAGAAAGTCCAGAAATACGCAACTGATTTTTATATAACAAGGCTGCTCAATTGGAAAAAATAGACTCTTCAACAAATTACATTTGGATAACTGGAAATATACAAAAGAATGAAGCTGAACCCCAACCTCACACCACACACAAAAATGAACTCAAGTCAACGCCCAAAATATAAGAGCTGAACCATAAAACTCTTAGAATAAAACATTAGGTTTCAACCTTGATGACTGAGAAGTAACAATGGATTCTTGGATATGATGAAAGAAATTGCTAAATTGCACTTGATCAAAAGCAAAAACTTTCATGCATCAAGAAAGTGAAAAGACAGTCTACATAATGGGAGAAAATATTTGCAAGTCACATATTTGACAAGCGTCTAATATCCTTTAAAAATAAAGAACTCAATACTAACAACATCAAAAACACAATTTTAAAATGACAAGATTTGAATAGAAATTTCTTCAAAGAAAATATACAAATGTACAAGTACAGGAAATATACAAGTACAGGAAAAGACAGTCAACATCATTAGTCAGGCGGGAAGTACAAACTAAAACCATAATGAGATGCCACTTTACACCCACAAGGATAGCTAGAATTAAACAAATGAAAAAGAACCAGTGTTGATATGAAGAAATATAACCTTTGTGCATTGCTGTTGAGAATGTAAAACTGTTCAGTAACTATGGAAAAAGAGCTGTTGGATCCTTAAAAAGTAAAACAGAATTACCCAGACTTAGTAACTTCTAGGCACACAACTAAAAAAGCCGAGAACAAGTATGTGTACACATACATTTATAGCAGCATCCATTATAACAGTCTAACAGTGTAAACACTCAAATGTCCATTAATGAATGAATGGATGAAAAAATTTTAGTATATACACACAGTGGAATATCATTCCGCTATTTTTTTTAAAGAGGTACTGATATGTGCTACACTGATGTACCTTAAAACATTAGGCCCAGGGGAAAAGGCCAGACATAAAATTATTCCATTTTTATGAACTATTCAAGATAAGTAAATCCACAGATACAGACTGCAGATTGGTGTTTGCCAGAGACTGAGACAGGAAAGAGGGCAAATGGGAAGCAATTGCTTCATGAGTAAGGGTTTCCTTGAGGACTGATAGAAATTTTTGAAAGCAGACGGATGTAGCTACATAACATGGTGATGTACTAAATAACACTGAATCACTCACTTTTTAAGATGGTTAATTTACATAATTTGAATTTCACATCAATTAATAAAAAGTAGAAAACTCACAGTTTGGAATTCAGGGCAAACATGGCCACCAGAAAGTAAAAGTCAGTCCTAGAAAGAAGAATGCATGCAACCCAGCTGAGGATAAAGTGATTAAACTGGAATTTAAACTACTTACTTTGTTGAAAGCAATCCAACAAAGTAAATTCCCACTAAAGCAAATATAAAATTAACAAATTTCAAAGAAATGTAACAGAATCTAGACTCTCTGTAACACATCACAATGCCTAGAATCCTGTCTTACTTTCCTGACTGCTGAGAAAAATACCTGACACCCAAAGTTAAAGGAGGAAAGGTTTCGTTGGCTCACAGTTTGCAGCAGTTTCAGTTCATAGCTGGTTGGCTCCAAGGCAGGGGGGTGTGGCAGAGGGCATTGCAGAGGAGAAACAGTTCATGGTAGGCAAAAGGCAGAAGCC